ATAAAAGCAGCAGTGTGTCAGGATACAGGTATGCTGCTGTTTATTACAAGTGTCTTTGTTATGACAAACACTGGAAGTCACCTTAATGTCCACAGATGGGCTAGGCAAATGAAGGTACCTCTGTATTAAGGAATAATATGCAGCTATGAAAAATGATAAACTAAATGGAGGGGTGCCTATGACATTGTAAGTTTAACAAGGATGTTGTAGAATAATGTGTATTGTATGATGCTATTTCTATATCTTGGCATTAATCCGGAGAGAATGTTCTTTTAATTAATTACTTTTTTGGAGACAGAGTTTCATTCTATTGCCCAAGCTGGAGTGCAGTAGCATGGTCTCAGCTCACTGCAACCTCCTCCTTCTGGGTTTGAGCAATTCTCCTGCCACAGCCTCCTGAGTAGCTGGGACTACAGGTGTGTGCCACCACGTCCTGCTACTTTTTGTATTTTTAGTAGAAATAGAGTTTCACCATGTTGATCAGGCTGGTCTCAAACTCCTGAACTCCAGTGATCCAACCCACCTCAGCCTCCCAAAGTGCTGGATTACAGGCGTGAGCCACTGCACCCAGCGGAGAATGTTCTTTTGAATAACCCGCTTGTAAGTCTTAGGGAGAGGGGGCTTGGCATAGAAGAGGATCATTATTTTTAGAAGAAAAAAGTACAGAATACCTGATATAATATACAAATCTGCATTTTGGCGATTTCATTAAAATCTTGATTAGTAAAAAAAGACAACAACCATCCTTGATTAAGAGAAGCTCCTGCTATGAGTTTTTCCACCAGCATTTTGCTCTCACCTTTAGGCTGAAACTGTTCCAGGGGGTCACCTGTCCTGGTGCCTGAAACGAAGATGCCAAGATTTCCCTGAAGAAAGCTATAGAAATACCTGTTTCCAGTGGGCCCATAATCAGCCGTGAACATGGAAGACAAAGTGGGGTGACTTTTTTTTTTTACCAGGAGAAGATGATGCTATTAATATGCCCTCGCTGCTGCTTCCCACTGCTCCGGAGATTTGCCACAGATGCTCTGCGGGTCGGGCGGGAGTGAGGCTGCTATTGAGGGCTTCTGCACTTAGCCCAGCGGCCATTTCTTAGGGAATATTGATCAAAAGTACTCTCCTCTATCATCTCAGGGGCATAATGCAGTCCCTGAGTATTCACGGAAAAAAAAAAAAAGCTTTTCTTTGCCAGGCTATTTTCTGAAGTCAAAAAGATCCTTTCAGGATCTATAATAGCAAGCCCCTTCCCACTTCACGCCCTCAGTGAGAAGCGCACTCCAATTTCCCGGCCCTGAGGACCCCACACCAAGGAGGATGCTGAGGCTCTGACCTCTTCAGGGACGTCAAACTCAACAAGCATTTTCACAGGGGAGGGGGGAACATAAATGGAAGATTAGCAATGACACTTGGACACATGAGAAAGCGCCCTCCTGTCCCAGAGATAATTTATGCATTTATTCTTTCTTTCCTAAATTAATGTTTGAATAGAATTTTGACCACATGCATAATGCTCTCTGATATCCGAGGCAGGCATATCTTGATAGAAATGGCAGCAACAATCATCCGGTCAGCGCTGTCCACGTCTCACATGGATTGGAAGGCAGGATGGCTAACGGGGACCTTCTACTTTCTCTCACTGTCATTCTGTGAAAGACAGGATCTTCCAAACAAATACCACCTGACATGACAGCTTATTATAAATGTCTCGCTGTCCCCATCTTATCCAACTTAAGTCAGGACACTTAGGTATTAAAGTACTTTTTACTTAAAATTCTAACAATGACAAAAAAAGCAATCTCCAATTCCAGCAATTTTTTTCTTATTATTCAGAAAGAGTGTCATTTCAGAGAGTTCTTGTTTTTGTCGCTGTTTGTGTGTGTTGCGGGCATACCTGAGAGCACCTTGAGGGCAGAGAGGGTATCACTATGTCTGACATGTCCCGCCTAGCTGGGCTGCCAGTTGGTCTTGTCATGTTCTCTGAGGGTGAAAATGGGGTTAATCTGCAGAAGTGAGTCCCGTTCTACTCCACTCAAGGTCGGTTCTTGTGGCATGGAAGGACATTGGTATGTTTTCTCTTCTGTCTCAAACTTCAGAAACAGAAGACAAACAAGACAATTTTGGCCAAATTGTAGCAAGAGCTTAGTCAACATGTGGCTCTCCGGGTGCAGAGAGCAGACCGTGGCCTTCCAGAGCGTGGCCGACCTGTCTGGGCACACACCAAGCATGGGAAATCTGCTTTGGCTACCCGCTTGTCACCTCAAAGTCTATTTTTCACAGTTGAAGGCGAGCTATTTGTCTTTCCCGTGGTTCCAGCCCACGGCTTCTGGAGCTATGGAGAGAGGTTAACTCCAGTGTTTTCTTCTCTGCATGTAGGGAGAGTAGGTGAGTCTCTTGTTAAAACAAGTTCTCCACCCTCGAAGTCCTCGGTCCCTCTGACAGCAGGGTCAGGGTGGCCTGAGCCTTGGCATTAGGGATGCCTTTACAGTGACCAAAAGGCACGTGGAAACTACATTTTCAACAAACAGTCCATGCACTGGCTAAGAATGGTGACTGCTGCTAAATGAGGGTGTCATCAAGAAGTGGGAACCCCAAAACCTAAAATGCAATTAAAAAATAAAAATAAAAAGTGGGAACCAAGAAACTCATCTCCTGCCTGGAGCCCCCCTTTCTGACCTTGTGAATCTCAGTGACCCAACATCTCCAGGCCTTGGTTTTCATACCCGTAGAAGGCAGTCAGATTGTGGGGGCGGGGGCAAGCTTTCCAGCTGTAGAGCCATGCCATGAGTAAACCACATATGCAGGGACCAAGTTTTACTTCGTGCTCCATTTCCATGGCCTTCACTTTTTGGTTTGAAAAATGAAATGCAACTAGAAGCATTTCCAGGTATAGAGACAAGAGCAAATGATAATAGTGCCCCTTGACATAAATGAGGTTTAATAAATCACAGTGGCTTCAATTTAGTTTCTGCACATACACAGCACCGTAATGCTGGCTTGAAAGTGTATTGAAGTGAGCAGGTATCAGTGTGTGAGCCTCTGGCTGGAAGACACTCTTCACTCCAGGAAGCATAAACAACTGCTGTTTTTTTCCTGGAACACTTAAGAGAATTATATGACGGCTAGGTGTACCTTAAAAATATTCTTTCAATTCTGGTACCTAGCAGAAAAAGACCTATCAGGGCCTTGTGGCAATGGTCCTTTTGGAAGCACTGGAAGTTGGACTGTTTTTTGGAGTTCTGCTGCAGGTTTTGCTTAATATGGCCCAAGATTTGATGAATACTTTTTTAAGGTGACCTGATCATTTACAGGAGGCATGATGGACTGGAATGTCTCCCCACTCTCTTATCATTCTGCCACAAATAAAAAAAGTATAAGAGAAAACAATTTGGCAAAAACCAAAAAAAAACAAAAAAACCCAAAATATTAAAAAAGTAGACTGTTTAAGAGTTTTAGAACAATATCCTTTGAATTTCAAATAACCATTTCCATATCTGAGAAGTATCCCTGAGTTATCCCAGGGTGGGGGAATTTCCAGGGAGTCCTGAGGGCCATCTAGGACACTGAGTCATTTGTGAGGGGCAGAAATGCAGTTCCTAGGAGCGGCTGTAGAGCAAGGAGCTGTCCTGCAGGGAGTGGTCTCTGATGTTCCCTCAGCGCTGGAGGGGGATGAGTACATCACTGAGGGGGCTGGCCTAGCCTCTCAACCCAGATCTACCTGCAGGTCAGAGTCCTCTGGGTACCTTTAAAAAGTGGAGATGCTGGCTGGGCACGGTGGCTCATGCCTGTAATCCCAGCACTTTGGGAGGCTGAGGCGGGTGGATCACAAGGTCAGGAGTTCAAGACAAGCCTGACCAACATGGTGAAACCCCATCTCTACTAAAAATACAAAAATTAGCCGGGTGTGGTGGCATGCACCTGTAATCCCAGCTACAGGAGGCTGAGGCAGGAGAATTGCTTGAACCTGGGAGGTGGAGGTTGCAGTGAGCTGAGATCGCACCATTGCACTCTAGCGTGGGTGACAGAGTGACACTCTGTCTCAAAAAAAAAAAAAAAAAAAGTGGAGATGCTGAGGTTCTAGCCCAGACCTGGTGGGTCAGAGTCAGTGGCAGACAGGAGCCTGCATCTGACTTATGAAGATTCTTCAGCGCTGCTGATGCACAGGCTGGGACCCAGTGCGTCCAAGACACGAAGCTCTCTAACTCCACACCAAGCTTCATTCTATGAGGCACCAAGTATTAGAAGCAGGACATACCATCAAGCAAGTTCTTGTTATCAGTGAAAAGCTAAAAATATATTCATTGAATTCAGGGTCTACTTGACTCCCAAGAAGGCATCCAGATCATTTGGGAGGTCACAGCCATGTTCTGTAAGTATTAGGTACTCAAAAAATATTTGCTAACTCTACAAATGAATGATTTTTACAAAATTCTAATACAATGTCCTGAAAGGTCACTGCTGCCTAGCACGAGTAGCCTGTAATGCTGGCAGAGGCCACCCGGCCAGGCTGTCATGCAATCTGGAGTCCTTAGCCAGGGACCATCAGCCTAGCTTCAGCCACACCAACAGGAGACCGTTACCACATCTTGTCTATCACTTATTTACACAGCAAACCCTCCAATGCTGCCTCCTGCTCATCAGGGACAGGGGCTCCAGACCTCTAGAGGGGTGACCTGTATGGGGGCTGCCCTGGAGAGACGGAGCAAAGGGTACAGCTCATTGTGGGCTCACATAGACATCATGGGGGCAGGCGATACTGACCCCGCCTTCAGTCATGAAGAGAGAAATAGACTTAAGTAGATCAGAACCATGATGCTTGGATTTGGAGCCCCTTGTGACAGGATCTCAGCATTCCATCTTAGGGACCAAGGTCAATTTTACATAAACACATCGGTAAGCTTCCCTGCATTGCTACCAGCTACCATTTTGGATGCATGTTTTGGCTTTGGTTAAACTATGCTTTCAAACAATTCTGTCTAATAAAAATGAAAACCACCTTTCTATTAGATGCCAGGGTAAACTTCATTTCCTTATAAACTATAATGAGAATGAGAAAAGCATATAGCACCAAAGTGCTGTGTTTCCACTTTATTAAATGATCACAGTCAATCAGAATTAAAGAGGAAAGAAGGTTAACTGGAGAGTTGGGTGGGGTGGCTGCCATCGGTGGCTGTTGCTTTCCCAGCGTGGCTGCCTGTGCCACGGTGTGTCCCAGCGCACACACACGTCTGCAAGGTGGGTTATGCATGAAGCTCCCTACCACCTAGCAAGGAACCTAGATGTGGAGCATTAGGAAAATTAAATAACAGGAGACAGCAAAATAAGAATCAAATGACACGCTATAACTTAATTTACCATATTTATCCAAATTTGTCCTTATTTACATGTACTAAACATTGTAGGCCAGAAAACATAAGGAAACATTCACTTCATGTGTGTCATACGGAGATACTGAGTGCAACTAAAACGACTGGTTGCTTCGTGTTGAGTTTGCCTTCGGATGCAGACAGTCCTCTTCAGTAGATATAAAGGTAGCACAGTTACATTTACGACATCACAGTTAGGTTTTAAAGGATTCATCAGACCTCCACATGACACCAATACAGCATGTCCATGGAGTGCAGGTAGTGCCACCTGAGGAAGGTCAGGAGGACGGGTTGTGCATGGCTCTGTGGATCTGCATGAGCTCTTGTTTGTAAGGCTAAGGGTCTGATCCATCAACCCACGTCACCAAGTTTGGGTCACCCTACTTCCCCAACGCATGGCTCTTAGGAACTGCAGACTTCGTTGCTGAGGACAATTGTGACAGTCATTCACCCAGGCTAAATTTCTGCACTTCTGTCTGCTGAAGCCTTGATTATTTTTAAAAAGTAGTAATTTTTTTCAAGTTCAAAAGCCTAAGTACAATGAGACTATAAACATCAGCTTCACTCTGGATGGAATCTGGGCATAGGTGCGCAGAGAAGCGAGGGAGTGGCCTGGTCTCCTGCCTGAGGCCAGCGAGTCTTAGTACATTTTGGCCCAATCAGGGCCACTTCTGTTTCTAGATAGCTGACCTACTGGTACCACCGTGATGAGTCAGTGCTGTGCCTCAGGTGGGGCCCTACTGGATGACAGATCCTCCAGTTTTGCTGAAAGGGATTTATGACAAAAACACAATATTTGCTTTTCTAAAAGAAAAAAAAAAAAAAGAAAAAAAAGAAACTTGATCATTGCAATTTTCCACCCCAAATAACAAAAGTGACTTCAGTCCATGTGATGGTGAGAAATGAGGCTGCCAGATTCCCAGATTTCTGGAATCTTCTGAGTGTTCTAAGATAGGGGCATCACTGTCATGCCCTGAAGGGCCTCTGCATGGTGAGGAGGACCTCTGCTCAGTTAGAGGGCATCAGCTACCATGTGGAAAAACAATGGACAACTGAGGTAAAACTTCTCCTGGGCAAAAGACCCCGGGGGAAAGCCAATTTCCATGATGATGATATACATCCTAATATAAAAGGAACTAGCAAAATCAATGCAGACAAAATTCCTGAATTAGACCATTGTTTTGCCAGCCCCTCTGTGAATCATGCGTGGGTTCATAAATGAGAAGAAACAACTTCGGGTTCAGAAGCCAGCTGCCCTCTGCCACCTCCCTGAAAGCACAGAATCTTCTGCTGTGATCTGCCCTGAGCAGCCACACCAATGCCCACGTGACAGTGGGTTCGCCTCTGGTTTTTGGTGACTTTTTCTTTCTTCTTTGGAAGTCCAAGGTTTGTGAGGTTTCAGGACACAATGACACAGCCTAGTGGGAGCCCCACCTGAGACACTGTCGTGGGATTCACCGTGGGCTTCAGAAGTCCACTAATGGGAAGACCTGCTGAGGGCACTAGTGCAGCAATGAAGTTTCCTGGACACTCTGCGTTTAGTGGCTCGGGGCAGGGGCAGGAGAGGGCGTTCTGTCTCCTCCTCACTCAGGGGCTCTTCGAGGTCAGCACTCAGACCGGAGGCCAGGGCCCCTACAAAGGAAGCGGAGAAATGCTAAGTTGTGGAGGCAATGGAGGCTGTACGGCCACAGATTTCAGGGAGGATTTGTGGCACTCAGAAGGGAGGGACATTCCCAGGAGAAGGGTCTGGTGACCCTCTGCTATGGTGGCAAAGATGCTTGTTGAATGAATAACCACATGAATGTCTTTCTTCGTATTCTTTGCCCTGGGCTTTTCTGCAGCGTAAAAGAAGCTACGAAGCTTGTGAAATTAATTCCGACTTACTGTCCAATTCACAAGTAAAGAATGAAGAGAAAAGGCATCTGGTCATAGTGAAAGGGAGCAAGAGCCACGGAAGAAGCAGTGGCTGGAGTCAGTGAAAAACCCCGTGAAACTTCAGAGGATGCTCTGCAGATCCCTGGCGCTGTTCCCGCAATCTCCACGTGTTTACATACTCACATTCTACACAATGACTTACAACTCAATTATTCCCCAAAGGGTCTAAGACTAGAGGTCAGGACTAAATTGCTTGTCTGAATGAGTCCAGATGAGCATACAGCTGTTTAGCACTGGAGGGAAAAGGAATAAAATTAAAACCTGCGCATGTGCACCACCCACGCTTCCCCAGGGCTGCTGTCGGCCTGCTCGGAGGAATACAAGAATGCATGCTGCAACACCGAGCCGCTGTTGCGGGTGGAGCTGGGTCTCCCACAGGATGGTTCTGCGAGCGAGAGGATTGTTTCATCACCCTTCCCCGTGTAGCGTATTTTAAAACCCTGCTGTCTTATGCCCCACGTTTCCCTGCATGGCCTCTGCCAGGAACAGAACTCAAAAGCAGAGTTTCCACACCTTCCTCCCTGCGTGCTTCACTCGCAGGGTTTTGGCCTTTGAAATGCTTATTATATTATTGGCATTTGAAATTAATTTAAGTAGGTTATTTTATTCACAGAGAGCATCTTTTTTCATTCGCTGACCTTACCTTACTGTTTCTAGGAAGAGTTTCCAAAATCAATACTTGGAAGCGTGCTTGGACCTACGGTAGCAACCTGGCCCAGTTCAGTACTCTCAGAGTCCGGGGGCTTCCCCGTTGCCTCCCTTCTTCTAGGCTCAGTAAGGTTGGGCAAACAGGGAAGGCTCACTATTCTTATCTTTAAAACAGGCGGCAGCCAGGCGCAGTGGGCGGATCGCTTGAAACCAGGAGTTCCAGACCAGCCTGGGAAATGTGGTGAAACCCTATCTCTACAAAAACAATGCAAAATCTATCCACGTGTGGTGGTGCACGCCTATAGTCCCAGCTATTTGGGAGGCTGAGGTGAGAGGATTTTGAGCCTGGGGAGGTCAAGGCTGCAGCCAACAGTGATGGCACAACTGTGCTCCAGCCTAGGTGACAAAGTGAGACCCAGTCTCAAAAAATCCCAAAAAACAAAGAAAAAAAAAACACGAGACATGAAAACCCCAAAACATAAAACAAAAACAGGCTGCTTCTGACGAAGGCAACACCAGTAGACCACCATCCACGAGAGAGGCCGGATTGTTACCAGGCAGCTCTCTACCCCGTTGTAGCTGGCGGTGGGTGGGCACTGGCATTTAATCCAGGCTGTGGTGCAGCAGGGGAGAACACACTGGATTTAATCCCAGATAATATTCCAGTCCCAACAACTCAGCTTACTATGGTTATCAGATCGATTGGTATAAAGTAGCCAAAAAAAAAAAAAAAAAAAAAAAAAAGCAAGTAAATAAAAGATATAAAGTGAGATTCAAAAAGAAAGAGTGAACCTTTGCTAATTTTGGATTCAAAGGAAGACATTTTAGTCCCTCTACCCCAGCCACTCACCCAGGGAGGATGAGGGAAAGAGGGGTGCACCTTGAGTTCCTGCAGATGGACAGAAGAAGCCAGCTTTGTCCTGCTGAGTCCAGTGAACAGCAAGAAGCTCTGCAGAGAAGGGGGCCTGTGCACCTGAAAGCAGGGACCCCATGGCTGGGGGCAAAGGGCAAAGCAACCCCTCCAGCTGGGCTGGGCCCAGTGCCACAGTGCCCTACACATGCCTCTGGTTCCTGGCTTTCTGCTGGCACATTCTCATCTGCACTGACCCCTCGTGCCACAGTACCCCACAGTGGGAGGTGGCAGCTGCTGGATGGACAGGCAGGCCACAAGGTAGGGCCACCTTCCTGATATGCCACGTCCGTCCACTTGCAGCTCTGGGTATGACTCTACTCACACTGCCTCTTCCCAGCGATGGAAGCCACGGGTCTATTCACAGGACACTCAAACCTCACCTCCCCACTTTGGCGGCAAAAGCAGGAGGACATGCTTAGACATGGGGATCTCAGCAAACGCAAGTTTTACAGCAAAGTGCCCTGCTGGGAGGGGACTGTACAACCCTGCTCTGCTCCATCTTGACATGAGCACCTGGACTGTGGAGGCTCGTGTCACCTGTTGGGGCTGACACAAGTGAGCCCAGTTTGGGACAATACCAGGACTGGACTTAAGCCATGGCGGAGGGGAAGAGAAAGGGCAGCTGGCTGGAGGGTCAGCGGGCTGTGGTGCCAGCTGCTCCTCCGGCCTGCAGGTCCAATAGCCCTGCCTGGCAGATGGGGGTGAAGGTTTGGATAAACCAACACATCTAGACCCTAACGTTGCATTTCCATATTTACTGAGACAAAGTGACTGGTGTCTGTGCCCTGCATTCCACTGTGGGTGACAGGCTCGTCAACGGCAGCTTGCTCACTTGCTCTCTCCTGTGAATGGCACTGCCATGGTCCTTGTCATTACCAACTGCTCTCCTTCTACCTATGAGCCTGGGAGGTGGTGCAGCCCGGGCAGCGAGGGACAGGGTTTTCAGACAGCCCTGCCAAGGTAGCTGCCATCCATCAGAGTGCTCTGGGCAGGGCCTGGACCCCAGACCCAGGACAGAAAGGCCGGCTGGGGTCACACCTGCCATGGCCAGCCTGTCCTCTGGGTCCTAGACCGCAGCCGATCCCTGGGTCTCCGCCCTCTGCGCTCCTGCAGCTTTTGTCTGCTTTTCCTTCCCCAGCTGTTCCATTCAGCAGCCCCCGCCACAACCTGCCCTCCCCTCGTGGAGGCCTCGGAGGCCTCCATTAAGGCTGGCGGTCAAAGGCCAGCCCAGCACGTGCCGTGTCTTATCGGCCCATCTCAAGACCCTGCTCCTCCAGGCTCCGGCAACAAAAAAGTGGGCGGCCCCAGCGCCCACCGCTCCCTGCAGCCCCACACACAAAAGGGCGGGCGACAAAGACATTTTCCGGGATGGCAGGTGTTGGTGTCGGATTCCTCCCCGAGTGCATGGGCAGAAGAAAGGCAAGGCTGGGCTTCCCTGGGCAGCGCAGACATGCAGGGGCAGGAGTTCGGGCAGGGCCCCTCAGGAGGGGAAGGCCCCGGAGGGCGAGGAGCACTGTGGCAGGATCCACTCTGGAGCGTGGCCAGTTAAAGTCCCACCCCCTCCCCAAAGCAGGGTGGCTGGACAAATCCACTGAAGTGTCTGTCTTACCTTGCTCAAATATTGTAATGAGACCTTTACGTGTTTTAATCTGAAGGGAAAGAACACAAAATCGAATGAATACAAACACAGCACCCCCACAGCTCCAACTTGATAATTAACACAGTGCTAATAACACATGTATCCCTGAGCTGCCCAAGCATTCTTGCAGCCTTGTGGATTAGTAAGAACTGAAAATTTACCTGAAAATTCTAGATAGGACAACATACAAGCCGACGTCATGCTTACAAATGTGAAATGAGAGAGACATGAAAACTCCTAGGATCTTTGCCTGCAGGCCTTGTCGGGAGCCCTACAGATGCTGGACAGCACTGACTGCTATATCCTTTTCCTGCTTGCCAACCTTTCCCGACTGATTTTGTCTAAAATACAAAGATAAAAGTGTTTTCAAGACAAGAATTTGAAATTCAATGAATGGCCTGAAAATATAATTGAAACCCCCTAGGTGGGCAAGTTTACATGTCTCCCAGTTTCATTTTACAGATTTCTGAGTTATACAGTGTGTTAATTCAATACTGGTGTCAGCTGCAATGTGACAGTCCCCAGGGAGGGGACACGCAGCATCCTATGCAGAGGAAAGCTTGGGAGCTGACCCTGCAGCAGCGCAATTAGACCACAAGGGTCACTCTCACCCCAGAGCAGCAGGGTCTCAGTAGTCATACTGAACCGAGGGGGATCGTAGCTTTTCTGTGCTTTGTGGCAGGTTCTTCCATCCCTTCCACCATCCTATTCCTATGGGGGTTCCTCTGGCGAACGCACCCTCTTTCCGCATCAGGCAGTAGCTTCTGAACTCTCAGCAACCCCCAGCTCTCCTGAAGTCCATGCCACTGGACGAGCATCAAATCTGGACAAAGGACATTTATCAGCGGTGTGGGCCATGGTCTGCACGGCCACAGCTGTAAACGTGACCCACTCTGCCAGGATTGCCACAGCTGGCACAGTGACAGGGCAAGTTTCTAAGACGGCGGCTCCAGGGGCCATCAGGAGGTGACCGCTAACATTCTCTTAGCCAAGGTTCCATGAAAGAAATTTGTACTGCTATGGAGACATCTTTTCCAATCTATTGATGAAAACTGTCCCTTTCTCCCAAGAAAATTATTCAGGGTTAGGAAATTCTGGATCAGCAACTGAGTGTGGGTCGTGTATGATCCTTGGTCTGATTTCCCACCACTGTTAACACCGTTCCTTCTCCAGACTTGGTTGTGCTTCTGGGCACAGGAGGTTCTGGGCTGCTGCTGATTGTCGGTCACAGACTAGAATGTTTTCCGTGGATCCTCTGGATGATTTCATCATTTCGATTTCTGATTTCCCCCCAGTGCTCTATGCTGCAGGGCCCCCATTTCCTCTCATGGAAGAGAAGAGAGCAAACATACAGCATCTCTGCATGGGTCTTCCTTGAGCTGAGGAGGCTCGGCTTTTAGAGCACCACGCCACTGACACCCTCCAATGTGAGCAAGGGGTCTCTTTATGAAGGGGCTCCTTGATCTCACTCCCCTGCAGCCCCTCAGCCCTGGTTAT